CTGTATATGTTACATACTTATTCACGTCCGTTACGCTCAATGAAGCATAGGCAGCCGACCAGCATTCTCCAACCCGCTCTGTCCTGAGCCTTCCTTTCTGGTTCTGTCCGACTTTGTTCAATCTTTTCATGTCTGTCTACATTCTTTGGCGTGATGTCTTTTCTGTTTTTCCACTTCTCCTCTGGCCTTCAGGATTCCACCTGAGGGTTTTCCTTCTGACGCAGTTGCGTCCTTTCGTCAGTGTGTGTCCTATCCACTTCCAGCGCTTCTTCCTGATTTCTTCCTCCACTGGGATCTAGTTAGTTCTCTCCCACAATAGATTGTTGCTGATAGTATTTTGCAAGTATTTTGCAAGGATAACTGTTGATAGACACATGTATCTTCTACAGATCTTCGCCCCATACAATAGAGCTGTCTTGACATTTATGTTGAAAATTCTAACCTTGGTGTTGGTTGACAGTTTCTGAGTTGACTTCCATATCTTCTTCACTTGTAAATATGCTGCACTTGCATTGCCGATCCGTGTCTTCACATCTGAATCAGATCCACCGTGTTCATCAATGATGCTGCTTAGATAGGTAAAGTTTTTCACATCCTTCAAAGTCTCTTCGTCAAGTGTTTCGACTGGTGCATTCTGTATTGTATCTGATGGGAATTACGAAACAAGAAGCCCTGACAAACTACGGAAGCTATTTTAGGGGACGTTATTTCATTTAATTCAAAGCTTGTATAACAATAACATTTACTATTGTACGTTGTGGTCGGGTTAGTCATTTATTTATTCATGTATCTTTTTTCACACTAATTTGAAATAGGATACCAGGTCGGATTTTGTAATAAATCGAGTAGTGTTCCAGTTGTCTTCTCTTCTCTGTCGCGCATGCCTGCCAGCCGATCAGGTGATAGAATATTTTTCTACTCTATACCCTACTTCGATCTCACGCATACTAGCCTCAAGGTTAAGCCAGTCAGCCGATCGCGTCAAGGTCTTAATTTACCTTAGACAAGTTATCCTCAGCATGAAAGTGGGTAGACAGATCTTAGACGTAGCCGTATCGGAGAATATTGCTTCTCCCTTTGTGTATATTCATACCTACTACTGTTGAGGCTGCTGCTACACCGGTTGTCTTCTCTTGCACTTGTTGTTGCATGTGGGAGAGAAGAGCCAGTTCATCTGCGACACTGAAGTTAGTCGTCGTTGTACAACCTGTGTACAATGTGTTTCACTGATCCGAAGCACTTTCAGGTTGTATTTCCTCATTTACGAAGCAATTTGGAATACACTCCCAGTTTCCCCCATCGTCCAGACTTTCCATATACCTATGAAAATTGTTTCTCTGGTTGTTAGTAGGGGCATCGGCCTCGTAACCTCCGAAGAATCTCGTCCTTCATCATTAGGCGTGATAATTTTTCCTTCAACTCCCAGAGTAGACTTTAAATTGTTTGAACAATTTTTCCAGGTTAGCGTCTTTTAGCGAGTTAGTTCTCTACAGGATGTGGTCGCCAATCCCATGCCCAACCCTCCTTCTTTATCCAAGCTTGTGACCGTCAGTAACCCCTCAGAGGGGCTACAGGAGGATTCGACAGTCTATGTATTAAGAAAAAAACTTAATGATAAGTCGTTGCCGTACGTCAGATTGCTAAGTTCAACCTCTGTTTCACAATTCAGTTTAGTTTATTTACTGCCTAATTGCTGAATAAATACGAATGGAGTGAGGAAAATATTAAATATAATAAGACTATATGCAACACTTACCCAAAAATAATTCCTAGCAGTTAAGATTCATTTATTCTTCATTTGGATATAACAGGGGCTTTAGTAAATCGTTCAAAAAATATTGAGACGAGGGATTTCTCTCACTAGTGTTATTAAATCATTACAATCAGTCTTTGTTTGAGTATGGAGAAATCGTATAGATCGAGTTTCATAGTTTCAATATGCCCTGAATCAGTTCCTGACAGTACTTAATGTGCTGATTTGGACCAACTCGGAGATATTTGTGGCATATCACCAAATTTAGAGTGAATTGTTTGTAATAAAGTTCATATTTTCAAGTAGGATTGAAATCAAGGCATGTATTTAGGAAGTGTGAAGATGCTTTTTGTGTTCTTAAATCACATATGATTAAAAGCTTTGCCGTAACGATAATAAGTGTCTGGAAAGAACTCACCTATTATTAGAGCAATATTGATCCAAGCAACGTCCTCAAATCATTTCTGGGTAAGACTTGGTGAATTCTCAAACAGTCAGAATAGCAGATAACACGTAATTACTGAAAGAGTTGTTTATTCTAGTTTTGATTTGCTGATTTCTGTGCCTAGCAATGTCTGTAACGATCAAACGTGATCTGATGCATTGAATATACATTACATAGGACTTCGACATTAAACACTTGTAGGGCGCTTTGTTTGGGTTTATCTAAATTGATTTGTGTTGTCCGTTTTGTGTTTTATGCTTATGAATACTGCTGCACTCTATCATGAGTATTATTTCATGAAACACAGCAAGCGTGGTTAGTTTTTTTCACACTTTTATCTTTAAGTTCAGTTCGGTTACTTGATGGTTTTTCAGATTTATCTACAATATATTTCATGAATGTACTTAAGTTTTGGTTGTATCCATTATTTTGAGTATATTTTCACTTCTGAAACATTCATACTGTTCTGGCATTGATTATGTTCAGAACTCTTGAAAAGCCGATGAGTTAATGATCTTAAGTCAACGTCAGATTTTTTTAACCAGTCTTAAGGATAACAAACCGCATCTCATTAAGAGAAGCGTGGTTTTATTAAGTCTAATTTGAATAGTAAAGAAAAAGGGATTCTCACTAAGTCCTTAACGAATTAAAATCAACAGTAGGAGTGAACGTTTCATAGGACTTCGCTTTAGCACCATGTCTCATTCACTGTATGATAGTAAAGAAATCTTACCTTAACTGTGTAAAGTGAATTAAGCCTCACATTAAAGTTTATTTAAAAAATCTACTCGTAAGACGTATTCCAGTTGGATTTACTTTCCAAATTGGACCCTGGAAATCTATAATTTGATAGTTATTGCCAATATATATATGTATGTGCCTATATATATATATATATATATATATATATATATATATATATATATATATATATATATATATATATATATGTTTAAATAAATAAATAAATAAATAAATATTGCCTGAGCCAATGTAAAAAGGTGACATTAGGAAACGTTATATAGCTTAGGATTATTGAGAGGAATGTGCTTGTGAAATCGGCACCTACACTCAAAAAGTATGGGCTGGTCACTTAATCTCAAGTTGACCAGAGCAAATACTACTTTGACTGGCCTATAACTTGACGTTAGTTTTCAATTGTTTAGCAAAATATTGAATTAAATAACATTAGCTTTCTTATTGCTGTAGATTTGAGAAAGCCATAGCTTGAGACATGCGGAGCACTGAGTCTTCAGGTTTCCATTTTGACAGTCGGTAACATTAAACTATACTGCCGACCTTTGAACGAATCTTAAATGACCTTGAGAAATATTAGCCAATCAGAAGACAGTTAATATAAAGTAAAAATATATTATACAAAACTCAAAAATTAGAGGGGATATTGTTCTTTTATATGACTTAAAAACTTATCAAGGTTAGATATTGGTTCATAAGTTTTAAAATCATAATGCATCCGATACAGGAACTCATCCATGTGGCTCCATAGTAGTCGACCTCTGGAACTATGATAACGTCTCAAGAATTCTTTTAGCTTCGACCACATACCTTCAATGTTATTAGTGTGTACCCCACTTGTAGGGTCTACGAAGTGACGCTTGTGTACGACAACCTCATGCACGTAGCCCAGTCTACTTAGGCACCTGTAGGCTCTCCAATCGTCCGTATATACCGTAGTTCCCGGCAGCACGTATTGTTGTATAGCCGGTATTATTGTCGGTGCCTTTCGGTTCCTGACTTTTTGGAAATGTCCTTTTCCTAGTGGTCTATCATAGATTCCAAGGACCTGTGAGGTATATTTATGGAAGAGGTACTTACCCAATCATCTTAGATACTGCGGCCACGGTTGAATTTGCGTTTCCTTACGACTGTTTCATCTATTTCAAGAATCCTCCCAACTCCTCCATATGATTCGTGTACGCTTGTCAATTTTGTAGCACATATTTCTCGGCAATACTCGTACCACTGAACTGCCGAAACGCCACTTACATCGGAAAATGAGGCCGCGAGTGTAACTGGTGCTTTTATTATCCAATTGGCAACAAGGATCATTATCTGCCTTAACGTTAATTTCGATCGAGTCAAGAAAGTTCCTGCTCGAGCTGACTTTCTCTTCCAACATGAAGAACATCGAAAGATAACATCATCTCGGCAAGTTGCACACTGTACAATAGTCATTTCACTACCACAGTCACAAGTATATGAACTCAATAATTTTTTCTCTTGAAGACGCTCAATTATAACGTCTTCCTTAAAATCCGCTGTAAAACGGTCGTACGTAAGCATTTTGAAACGAAATTAGCGCCGTGACCTTGAAAACCCGCGAAAGCTATTGATTGGCTCGGCAGTATAGTTTAATGTTACCTGACAGTCTTCTTAAATAATTGTTTCAGCTTGTATTTCGAGCCAAATAAGGATGAAGTTTAGTGAAAAGGGACAAGAACCCTTGTATTATAACCACTTAGACATAAGCTTAGTTAATTTTTTTCAAATATTCTGATTTTTTACCCATTCGACATCTAACGAATCCTATTCAACAAAAGTTTATAGGAAATAATTAACCTGAAATTTCATCAGTTATGAAGACGTTTTTAGCTGGGCAACTCAGTTTCCGCATTTTACTCCTACACTGTCAGTAAATAACTTATTTATTGTTTTTTTTAGTCTTTGTTTGGACGTCGTGCTCTGTAATGGGAACGGAATCTTCAATGAAATTATTTACCCCATAAACTGGTTTGCGTCTTTACACGCTGAAGAAACTTATTTTTTTTGTAACATCTCATAATGAGGATACGGGGATCTAGATTTCCACCTGATATGAATGTTACAAAGAAGAACCCTATTCCTAATGTCACAGGGAGCCATCAGATGACTTGGAAGGAGTTGGCTGAAGCTGATGACCTTGCTTCCGCTCTCACCGTTGACCCTTATCTTGGGTTCACTACCCATAAAATGACTGAGTATGTTTTTGCAAGTAACATATTCTATCCTATAGTATGAAGTTAAGGATTCCAGAGAGAATTAAAAGAAAGTTTCGTGATATTATATGCAACTTTCAGAAACATAAATGTTATGATGCTGCCTATAATCAGTTGATAGCCGATCCAAATATTGTAAAACGTCCTTGGAGTGTTGATCCTCGGTTCAAAGAACATGTATGCGTTTCGTAGTCTTGATTTATATATAGGTCACTCGTTATCTTTTATTGTTCGATGATCGTTCTGGCATCGAAATTCGACCGTGTTGGCGCTATGCATCGGAAAACCATATGGGTGCTTCAATTTTTGCAACAAGAGATTGGTAAACTAAAAGAGTTCTCATAAATAAATTTCTAGGGCCAAAGGGTCACGTATCAGTACCTTGGTGGGATGTATTGCTGAACTTAAACATCACGAAGAAGCTGCATTTCTGAAGCATCACAAAAATGACTTTTCGGTCATGTATTCTTCTAGGAAAAATTGCTCTCAGTTGTGGTTGGGTCCAGCTGCTTACGTCAATCATGATTGTCATCCAAACTGTGAGGTAACGTTTTCGATATACTAGATGCATCCCAAGTTTATACCTCCCTTAGCAACCATATTGTATTCGTACCAGATTCTAATCTTCCTGTTATGTCTAACTCGGCCGTGCGCAACCGGCCTCAAGCAGTTATCCCTTGGGCTCTGTGGTTACACCCCCAGGTCGTTAAGACCAACATTAATCCAACTTCCTTTTCAGGTCCCTCACGAAATACCCTTCCACATTGTGGGCAGCCGGGAAGTGATATTAGCCCTCATACTCGTAACAACACACGAGACCAAATCGGTCACATTCAAATCCTTCATTGATTCAAGTTTGAAGATGTATAGATAAAAGAGCAAAAGACACCAACTAAATAAAAAAAAACACGGATCAACCAACACAGAAAACGAGTAGGTATTATTTGGTAGTGTTTAGGGTTGCGAAGTAAAAAGGAATGAATGTGTCCCATTGTGATTGGTCTTTAGCAATACCGTCGATGTTTTCTTCCATGAATTACATTTTTGTTTATTATAATTAGAACACTGGCAGTGTTTGTCGTGTAATTAAGATAATTCAACCATAATGAGATCCAATTTTTACTGACCGATTTTATAAAACAGTTAGTATAACTTTGCTATATGGTTGTTGCCGGTTTATAGAGGGTTTTACTGACCGATTTTATAAAACAGTTAGTATAACTTTGCTATATGGTCGTTGCCGGTTTCTAGAGGGTTGTTTAGATTGGTCAATCAGATTTTTAGATTTCATGCCAGTGCTTTTACCTCATTTTAAACCTCAGATAATGTATTAAGAATGAATAATGGTTTTTCAAGTGATGAATCTCCGAGCATTTAGTTCTCTTTCAAAAGTAATGATGTTGGATACTTTTTGAGTATTATTAACTGAGTATACTTCTTTATTAGGTGTAGGTTTTTGTCATCAAAGCTTAAAATTCTGTTGGTTGATGAAAAACATCGTTCTTGCGAATCACCTTATCCCACAATCTTTTTTCTTGATTGAATTTAGTTCACAATTAACTGTGATGTTGACGCTCGTATGAGTCTAGAAGCAAAAACGGATATAAAATGTGGTGATGAAATTTTTATCTATTATGGTACTCACTTTTTCGATACAAATAATAGAGCTTGTGAGTGTTTTACTTGCGAGTTATTGGGGCGCGGTTATTTTAGTAAATTCACTCAAGCAATTGATAGTACCACTGTTTCCGATCAAAAACTGATTTCAAATATTGTGAATGGTCAAGAAAACTATACCAGAATTGTAGCATCGTATCAAAATGGCCGTTACAATCCTAATGTTCACAGTCATGTTCTTCTGGACAAGATGAATCTATTACCAGGTAGGTTTGTTCCCAAATATCTATTTAAAGGTGTTAGTTCTAGTATATTATCGCTTATTATCATTATTCAATATATTATTAACTTGCCAAACATATCGCGGAACTAAATCCATTCAGTGTTGAACATATTAACTTATGTTTTTTTGATTTTGCTTATATCCACTTCCGATGCATATACAAAATCACAAATTTATGTTTATATGCTTATTGAGTATAGTAAACAGTAATTTTTACTCCATCAGTTAGCCATGATCAATGTAGTACCTACCTAAAATGTGCATCAGCCTACGTCACTAGACCACATATGAAAAACGAAGTCGACAAAATTAATAGCAAATGATTCGAGATAACAGTATGAAACAGGCGTTGTCACTTATCATAAGTCAAACCACTTTTTGGAACCTGTCCCAAGATTTCATCAATCACTACACCATCCGGACTGAAATGGCTTCCAAGATAAATGGAAATAACAAAAACACACCTCATTACTTTAATCGCTATGACCAAACTCGGTATTGACAGAAATCAGTCTTAAAACGATATTTCCATTTAGAAGGGAAGAAATTCGTCTCAAGTATTCTGACGTTGTTACTTAAGGTTTTTAAATAGTTAAATTTTGCTAGTGTCTTCAATAAACAGAACTTTGTCCATCTTCACTCCTAAGTGTGTAATCTCATTTATTTGAAAGTTTGTTTTCGCTAACTAAAAGCTGAAACTTTATATTTGATCAATGTAAAAAATAATCGATGAAATATAGAACTATATCTCTCCTAGACGCATTAAGTTCGTTATTCAAGTATGTCCAACTGCAAAATAAATCCATAACGTCATTTGTCCCGATAAATTTTATTCTATTCACCTTTGCAGTTTGTTTATTTTTGATGTGTTAACTTTTTTATACAAGTAACTAGTATTTGTATGATATTAAATATCACCGAAGCTTCAATCTCTCGCCCTTTTTCACAATCCTTATGACATTTTGCTGTAATTCTTAAAAATATCAAACGTAGAGATTCTACAATTCTTTCAAAATTCACTTTATTCATTATATGCATGAAAAGAAATTAAGTTCATGTAAAAATACAGTTTATCTTCCCCATTCAGTAACTTTGCTGTTCAATATTTGGATTCACTCTTTATCCGAGTAAGGGAGTGACATTTTAGACGTCAAATTAGGTCTACAGCCTCATTGAATGTTTAAAATGCATTCTCGTTTTAATATCTTAATGGTTCTCTGAGATATTTAAACAAGTTACTAATGAGATTACGACTTTATTTATTTATCTTTTGTATATGCTTTGATTTTTGTAGACAATACTCCGTCTGCATATAATGAGGCAGAAAATGCTAAGCAATTACCTTTGGATTTTTTCCTAGAAAAGGGATCTTCCACTGGTTTAGCTTGTAAAGCATTACCTAATGCCTACGCCTTACGCCATACTGGATCTCGTCTAAACCGCGTGAAAGCTCGACTATTTGCTGCAAAAGTAGCTTCTGTAAACAAATCCTTTGGTGTGAACAGTCACGAAAACAGAAAGCCAAAAGTCAAGCCTTCTTACAAAAAGTGCTCATTAAGAATGACAGTTTCGAATATTATTCCCTCTTTGAGAAGAAACAAGTCAAGTTCAAAACCCCATGCCATTGGTAGGAAAAGACGAATGAAATCTGTCGCTGCCGTAAAAAGTCGACAAATATTGTCTGACGCTCAAGTAAAGGACAATTTTACTTCGAGAAAAATTATCAGTAACCTATCTGATCGCAGTATAGTTTGTGATGGTATATCATGGCAAGAATCAGATGGGACAAGTAGTGGATTAGGACAGAGTGTTAACAATGACAGTAGTGGCTACAATAGTCCATTGCCACCAGATTTGGATCGCATGTCATCAACTTCACCAAACAATTCATTTAGTGAGACGATTGTTGTTACACCTGATCTTGAATCATCTTACTATCTTGAATCAGCAGTTCAAGCGTGCACTGACAATCGGAATATGAAACGAAAACCATCTGATATTAGTGTTCAGTTTTCTATACCAATCACCAGTCCATTACGAATTACAGGTGTGTTAAGCAAAAATTTATATACACTTTTTTTCAGTTTTGTGTGTTTCGAAGTATGGCGAATTGAACGGATGTGGTACTGAATCACATTTTTCATTGACACAGATGATTAATCTTAGACACCGTTTAACGTTAGAAAATGTTTATTTCAATTAAATATGTTAGAAAACCAGTCGTATCGTTTTTCTAGTTCTGTATTTTATTAATGATGCTTTTCGGGCTCATTGTCTTCATAATTGAGTTTAATGAAAATATTTTCCCAGTAAATCTGAGCTGAATCTATACTTTAAATTTAGAATGATCATTATATACTGATTATTTGTTTTTATGGCTAGATACTAACTAGTTACGTAATCCCTTACGTAAATTCCCCGAAATTTTGGTCAGAAGCTCATTTTTTACAAGTTAAATTTCATTAGCTCCCAAATGCCCTGGTACGGCTGAGAGTGGGGAGAGTCCGCTCTCCCTCTCGAAATGCTCTCACATGGCTACGCGTATATAGCCTCTGCCAGGGAAGTCCTACTCACTGCCTTCTCGCGACATTGAAGTGAATGTCTGACTCCTTAACCGGGTTGGTGGACACGGAAGGTCCACCTAGAGGAGTTGGAAATCCCTGATTCTAAACCAATGGTGCACATGGACTCTAGTATCCTGAGGGAACAAATGGCGTACTAACTAACCGTTGTTCACTGGCTACCATGGTATTGCATTTTCTGACATTGTTCCATCGCCTTGTAGATCAGATCTTTAGGTCGAATGCTCCGGGTGTGATCTCTTGGGAAAACCACCTGCTTCGGTTTGGGCATCCTGGCAGTATCACAGCTCACACATAAATCAAGTAACTTGTGTGGCGTATATGTTTGCGGTGCCCCTTTGTACTAATGTTTATGTGTTCAAATAAATAAATGAATTTCATTCAGGCTTTTAATACTCACAAAAACATCTTTAATAACTAGTATTGAACACCACTAATAAATTTTTTGAACAAACAATGAAACATAGGCGAATGCATTTTGAGTTCTGGGGTGCTTATGTTAGCAGTGTTTGACTAAATATCCCATTTTCAAGTATTCTTTGTAAAAAAAATTATAGAAAATATTTACTTGAAACAGCAAATACGTTTTAGGGTTCATTCTTGTATGTGGATTCACAGTTTTGTCTTTTACTCAGATTGTGTTATGATATTTAAGCTAATCCAACAATCTTATGTTCGTGAGTATCCAACTGAGTTGTAACGTTCAGCATCTCATTGAGAATTTAGGAAAGCAAATTGTTTATAATAATTCTTTTTTGGAAAGGGGAACATTTTTTTGAAAATATTTTTCACCAATCTTACTTTATTTATTGACTGAATCGACATTTGTTCTGCAATTTCAGCTGAAAATGAAATAACAAAGAATGTGGAACCTATTTTGGGACGACTTATGCATGAAACGAAGTGTAGTAGTGATTTTAAAAACCCATTGACTACTAATTATTTATTTAGTCAATCTACTGCTTCTGGACACTGTCGAAGACGTCTAACAAATTATGATGCTCGTTTGATTGCCGAGGCCAGTTTGCTCACTCCAGTATCCAAACAACGACAGCGTAAACCGCCGAGTTATCCAGATTCTGTAGAGTATATTTCGTTTAGAAATACGGTGAGATCTCCTAAGACAAGGTCAATAAAGTATGGAAATAAAGATGAAATTTTGAATGACAAGTCACAAAATAACAACGACCATGATGTTAAAGTTGCAAATGACGATTCTAAAAGTTTTTATGCTAAGTACAGCTCACAATTAGGGTTATCTTTTATGGGTAATAAATATGTTGCGGCTTCAGGAACACAGTATTATGCAATGCCGGACAAATGTACAAATATTGAGTCATTTTCTGAAGATTTGAAACCTCCATTACTAACCAGTCCTTCAAAACTTCGTACAACATCATCATTTACTTTGTCAGATAGTTCTCATGATGTGGGTCCTCCCTCCATATATTCCACAGCTGAAGCAGATGATAGAAGTGAACTCCTTTCGATTGATTCTGAACTCACTGAACCCAATTTAGATACTGACTCCTCATGTGATTATCACATTCCTAACACACCCACAATCTCTTTCGGTTTCTATAATAAGTCCATTACAAATGACGAAAAAAGTCCTATAATGTCAGCTGAACATATTCTTATTGATCATGATTACTCTTTACCGGCATGTGATGTTGAATATGCTCTAGTTCCGGATCCAATAATTGATACTAAAATAAATAATCAAGACCATCGACAGAAATCAGAGAAAGATTCACTTCAACGCTATAATAATAATGATAAAAACTATAATGGATGTATACCAGAAGTCGTCCGTACACCTCCACCTCCACTTCTGCATCCAGAAATTCAATCAGGTATTTTCGAATTATGTGCTCGTGATTCACCACATAAAATTAAAAACGATTTCCTCTCAAATTCATCTCATATTCCCTCAGTTTCCTACATTCATAATTCATGGCGGTCTCGAACTTCAGATTCAAAGGACAGTTGGCACCCTGATCTTCTGTTCTCTGACTCTACATCTCCAGATTCTCGCCGTTTGACGGTTACTCTTAAACGTGTTGGACCTAAGCATTACCAAATATCTCAACCAAGTAGACTTTTTATCAATTAAGAAAGATATTTTGTCTATAACAATGTATGAATATGCTTCTTTTTACTTTCTTGCAAATTTATAGGGATGTTTCTATTCTTTATTTATGACCAGCATTTTCGATTTATTACTACCTCAGATTTCTCATTTATGCGTATGTACTACATAAAAATCCATATTCAATCTTATTATTTCCTTTTAACATGGTAATTATTGTCAGTATGTATATAATGTTAATAAAAAGCACTCTGGCTCTTGTTAACAGAATACCTCTTGTTTTTTTCTGGAATTGGTTTCACGTGATGAGATTCTTTAACTAATTTAAAGTCCAAATGCAATGTATTCTTATTAGCCGAAAAAGTTAAAAAATTGCAAAGCTTTTTAAATTAAGGAGCCAAATACTAATCCAACAGCTAAATCATCTTGGTACAGACCAACAAGCTATCGCTCTACCTACTTCGATATAGGTAACCAGATAATGTCACTATTTCTCACACTGTCTGATATGAAGCCGAGTATATAAACATGTACTTGATGGTTGAGTTATATTATTTAATTCATGGAGAGCAAAAGTGCTGGAATGTTTAATTTACATTTTGTACCTGTAGTTATTGTTTTTAGAGACTAGGAGAGAAGTAATTGAATATCGAGACCACTTCATGTAGTTGTAGAGTTCTATTAGCGACGTAACTTCATTTCATAGTATTATAAGCAGAGATAGTTGATTGCTAACAGTGGAATCCATTACGCACGTTTCGTTTGACGTCTGCTAGTATTTAGTTATCTTTATCATATAGGACATTAACCCTTTGATATTAGCAGTCCCAAGGTAATGTCATCTGATAAATAGACCGAATTATCTAGCACTAACATAAAAGAAATGAATGACAACTTAACTTATCTTCCCTAAACCAAGACATTCTCCAGTTTTGTTATATTATTTGGTTCTACTTATCTTCTGGTGCTTGGTTAGTTTTCTGAACAAAGAAAGACTAGACTTGAAAATTCCACCTAATGGTCATGGTTGATATGATCGTTAGGAATTTTCCATACCTAACTGAAAATATAGCCGAATATTTACTACCTAGGTTAGTCCCTGAAGTTGATTTCTTTTCTCCTTTTGAGCCTGTTTCTTCACTGTAAATGTTGGAGTTTATTAGCCTTCCAGAACAGATGTCGGCAAACGTTTTTACGAAGGGGCCTTATGAACTCTGAGACTTAGGTTGCGGAGTTCATGAAAGGTCTTAAAAATGTTTTTAACTAAGATATCGACAACAAGACCAACATTTGTGTATACAAATATTAGCGTTATTGATATCATATCAGTGAAATGAGTGCAGCTGTGTATAGTTTTCAACAGTGAATTGTAATCAAGAATCGTTTTTCTTGTAATGACTGACTGTATATTTGGATCTCTTAGTTGAGATCTGACCTTCGACTTATCAAAGTCCATAAATGAAAACGTTCACTCACAAATTTCAAAGGACGCACAAAAAAATAACATGTTACGTGTGAAATGTTTTAAATTTCGGAATTCATTCTCTGTCAGTGATGAATATAATCCATTATTGCGTGTTTGAACATCCATTCAGGTCGTCAGCTTGGATTTCTGTTAGTTTCATTTAAGATCATGATTATCTGTTTCGATACCAAAAGGGAATGGAGAATTCAATAAGTCAAACTATCGGATCTCGAAAACATCATGGGGATTAGTTATTGAATTCTGAAATTCTTAAACAGACACCGACAAAACCTATCGTTCATCTGATATACGGAAATTAGCGTAGTCTTTCCTCAAGTTGTCAAGTCTGATTTCCAACGCTATTTCCTAAAGGCTATAGTAAGAACTTGCATATTTCCACAAATTAGTGTACAAGCGACTGATTTTACCCGTAATTCTGGATTACCTTACAGGCCCGTATTTCACCCACCTCTATTCTAGGAAGCTATGTGTAAAGCTTTTCACTGTTTACCTTGGTATCTACACTGATTCTACATCCTTATCCGGTTTAATGTCGGGTAAGTATTTACAAAAAAGGACTATGTAAAGAATATATTTGATTTTACTAAAATTGGGTTGATCAAGTGTGTTATCCGATTCGACAATATGATTGTTAATCGAAATCGTATGTTGCAGATCATTCACTTGGACAACAACTATCCAGTACCACAGAAAGCAGCAGTTCCTACAAGGTTCTGGTTACGCCTTGTTGAAAAGTATCAACTTTCGCGAAACCTTTGTGCAGGTTATCTTGGATACTAACTCCAACCACTGTACAAAAGGACCAACTACTGGATTTTATCTGTAGTCAGTTGTCTAATCAATCTATGATTAACTTGAATCAACTATATGATGAGATTTGTGTTGTTTCACATATCTCTAAAATCAGAAGGCGGAAATGTATGTTAAACTATTGTATGCTAACGCGTTTCGCAGGATCACCATTAACCGAAGTCAACTAGTTATTATTGTTGATTTTGTATCGCGGCATTAGTCTATGTGAAAGACGTTCAGCAAATAATTTCCGAATGGATACCTTAGTACTGTAATTGTCTATAATTTAGGTTAAAACAGACTCCATCTGAGCAGTACACATGATGAAACAAATAAGCCCTTATTTAGACAAAGAACAATGTATTAATTGGTAGTTTATTCGCTTATTTTTATTATAGAGAGAATTGGAGCAACATATATCAGTATTAAATACAGTTTCGCAGCGATTAAAAATTAGTTTCACCTCATTGGGATTGGATATAGAACTTTCCTGCGTAAGAATTTATACTCCATCCTTTATATTAATTGAAAATATAAGTGTCTTTAATGAATAATCTCTAATACTGTTAGTCTACTAGAAGTTAGTGGCAACATAAAGCTTATTTTTGGACGGTATACTAATCAATTTCGAAAGGTAAAGCCATTTAAAATAAAGATTTTGATCAGTTTTATGTGTGTTGTCGTATTGATTTCCATAGTACACAATGTTTTCTACAAAATGTTTGAAGAAGTTGTGTTTACTTTATTATGTTTTATCATAAAATCATGGCTAGTTGTGGGGAATTAGCAACCATCAACTCATACTAATTTCTTCAAAATATTTCCTGGCAGTGTCGGATAAAGCCTTATTTCAAATATCATTTGAAAAAGTTTTCAGTGAAACTTTCAGTTTAACACTGCACTTCACAAATAAAATTTCGTGTAAATTCTTTAACTACTTATTCATGGTTTATAGCAGCACTATTCTCCCAAAACAAAATTAAGATATCTATGAAGCCAGATGCTAGAGTCATATACTGAAAACTATTTAGTTTGAAAATTAATCGGATAGTGTAAGAATTCAGTTACATATAAACATTTTAATATTCCTACTCAGATCATTCATTACAGTATATTTGCGTGACGTCTTTATCTTAATGGGGGGAGTCATGGTTTCACTAGCTATATTTTAACGAATAAGGTCAGAAAATGCTAAGTTGCAATGAACTGAAGAAAATCCTTAATATAAGTGATTTAATTCTATACGTATATTCACGGGACTAAACGAAGAGTAATGGCATTAAATTCATCATGGGATTGTGGAGACTTGAATTTCATTTTAATCATGAACTCATTTAAGTTAGACCACCATTGAAAATCTGGGAGTATTGAACGGCCATCTCGTCCTAGTATGAAACTCATCAGCAGTGCGCATCAACGACCCCGCACACGAGAATTGAACCAAGATTTCTTGTGAGAAACCGTGACCAGTAGATCTAATCTTTGTCAGTTGCTAGGCCTACTGAAGACAATGGAAGAAAGTCGCACAATGTCGTGGATTAATTGATGTTCGACGTTAAAAATGTTGGATGCCGGCTCAGCAGTCTATAGGTTAAGCGCTTACGTGCGAGATCGAAGGTCTTGGGTTCAATTACTTCACGTGAGCTCGTGGATTCACCCTATTGAGGAGTTTCATACTAAGACGATATGGTTGTCCAAGGCTTCCAGGTTTTCATTGATGGTCTGACCTAAGTTAGTTCATGGGTCACTGAAATCCTCCACAATCCTTTACTGGAAACTTTTATGATGTATTCTACGCTTTCGGGTTTAAAATATTCTGTATTATTTCATAAGATAATAAATTTATTTAAACCTCATTTATATGCTAATTATTAAACTTGGTTTTATGATTTCAATTAATATATGAGTTGTCAATATATGAATGTTTGCTGAATACCAAATTTAATTAATTCAGCCCCTCTTCTGTTTTAAAACTACTCAACATGGCAGTACGCTTCTTACGACTCTTCACAAATAAATGATCACTGGGTAGTGACCGATATCATGAATGTCATGTCCTTCTTTAGTACTAAGCAAATTCTATCGATTAAGTTGCCATGTGGCCACTAGTTTAAGTGGCTCTTCATCTCGTGGATTATGTTGATATATATATATATATATATATATATATATATATATATATATATATATATATATATAAACACTAATTTTGAAGATTAGAGAATATGATAATAATTAACAAATAATAATAACAAATAGTATACGATCAACACAGTTCACTAAAATCTACAGTAAAAAATGCATCAACACAATTTAAAACGCCTGGTGTGAAAGGCATACAAGTTTCGTGTTTGAAATAGTCAGAATCTTAAATGCGAAGAAAAAACATAAAGTGAACGCTAATTGAAAATTTTGGAATAGAGAGGTTAGTTTTGATTGTAGTTAGACTGGAGAATCATTTTTGAGATTAAATATAAATGAATAGCAACTTATATGAAGATAGTCGCTTACAGTGATTGTTCATTTTGGCCTCAGATGAAGAATGATTCAAAACGAATGGACTCTAGACACCGGATTCGTCCCATTTTGGAACTCTTTTGTCCTATACACTAACAACACTGTATGGACCGGACGTACCACATTTATATTTCGAAACTAACACGATAACTTTGTGATAATATGTTAGAATCAAATGATTCTCATTCTCCATTTCAGCCAGTCCGCGAAATTGGGTGACTTTCAACTATGTTCAATCTGTTCCACTACCGACGTGGTTTGTGTTGATACAAAATCCCAATGATCTTCAATCTTTCTCCCTGACGGCTTGTCGTAATTAAAACTGGAGCTAAAATTTATCTTGTTAC